ATTTAGGTCAGGCATGGTAACCCATACCTATAATCCCAGCACTCAGGAGGCTGTGGCAGTTGCAAGTTCGAGGCCAGCCTGGGCTACAAAGTGAGTTCAAGACTAGCGTGAACTGCACAGTAAGACCCTGTCTTGAAAAAAACAAAAGATAAAATAGTAACAACAAAAAATAAGCTAGGCATGGCAGCACACACCTTGAATCACAGTACTTGGGAGGTTGCAGCAGAAGGATCATGAATCTGAGGCCAGCAACGACTATGTAGCCAGACCCTGTCTCAACCCCCTCCCCCAACAAAAAAAAGCATTAAAAAAAAAAAAAAGGCTGGGCAAGGTGGCTGTTACTAAGTACATCTAGATGTTCCTCAAGAAGCACTCACAGACAGGGCTTTTGGAAGGTGATTAGATTATGGGAATTTATAGTTGACTTCCTATTCAGAGGTGGATCTGTTTGAAAAAAGTTGGTCACTGCAGACATGACTTAGGATATCTCCTGTATCTCCCTTCTCAACTTTTCCCTTTACTCTGTCTGCTTCTTGGCTTTCATGTTGTGAGCAGCTATCCCTCTGCCATGCCTCTGTGCCAGGATGCACTGCCTTGGAGCCAGTGGTCTACAGAATGAAATCTCTACAAACTATGAGGCAATAAAAACCTTTCCTTTAATTTGTAGAAGTGGGATATTCTGCCTGAGTGACAAAGACAGTAATGCATACTATAATCCTCTCAGAGGCTAAGGCAAGAGGATCATTCAAGCCCAGCTTGGGCAATTTAGCAACTCAGTGAGTCTTGAAATAAAACATAACAAGTGCTGGCGATGTAGCTTAGTTCAAAGGCCCTGTGTTCAATCCTCAGTTCCGGTGGTGTGGGGTGCAGGGTATGAGGGAATAAACCACTATAATCCCAACACTCAGTAGAGTGAAAAAGAGGAATCATGGATTCAAAGCCAGGTTGGGCTACTGGAGATGAAGCCTGATAATCAAATGAAATACTCCTCTGCCAAGGAACACCAAAGATTGCTGGCAAACAATGGAGGTTGGCAAGAAGCAAGCAAGCAATGGCTCCTTATCACTAGTCCCCTAAACCACCACCACCCTCAGTCCTTGGGATGGAGGTTAACATTTTGATCTTAGACAATGACTTCCAGAACTGAGAGTGTAAATTTGTGTAAGCCATCTGATCTGTGGTCATTCATTATGGCAACTTCAGGAAGTGAGCACAGGACATTATGCTACTCTACTGTTACATGTTTTGAAATTTCCATAATTTGCAAAAAACCCAATGACACATTCTTCATGGATGCAAAGCCCTTACAAAAGGAAGCAGATTCATGCTAGTGCAGCTTAAAGTCAGAGCAAAGTGGGATCTCATTGAGCACTCTGGCCTGGCCTTTCCAGCTGCCAGTAACAGAGCCTTACCTCACCATCTCCAGCCACCCCAATGAGTACTCACAAGGCCTGACTTCTGAGGCTTCATCTGCACCAAATCTTCCAGAGACTGTAGTAACCCCTACGGTGATTCAAGGCCTGATATACCACGAAGCCGTCAGGTCCCCCACCCAAGGAGACTAAGGGCTTTGTCTTTCAGGCTTGGCCTGACAGTGGCCCCATCCTGACCAATCAGAGGCATGAGGGCAGTATGACAGAGGGTTTATTTTGACCGTACGAGCCCCTCACTATCCCACACCTGGGATCAGCAAGCTTGGCTATGACAAGTCTCCCCTTTAGTTTCCAGGTCCACATCCTTACTGGCTAGCAGGCTCACTCTGCACTCAAGAATACTCTTTTGCGCGAAGTGTTTGTATACGGGTGCCAGCGCCACTCCACATCTGCTGTAGCCTCTTGCTCCAGCGTGCCCAGGCGTATCATGTACACTGCAGAGAGAAAATGAGACAGATAGGCAGACAGACAGGCTGGCAGACAGAGAGACATTATTACCTGTACAGAAGCCTCCACTCCACTGACTTCCTCAATGTGTAGGAAAAAACCCCAAACTTACACTTCAGCTCAAAGCGAGGCCCGACCTCTGTTAGTTCTACGTTGCGGTGGTCTACCTTCTTATAGACATGGTGCCTGAGGAGAAGCCAGGGTAGGGGCATTGGCTGGAAGTAGCTATGGATCAGCCACAGTAGCACAAAGGACACAGAGGTCATGACAACAACCCAGGTTCAACCCATGAACACACCGGAATGAGATGTAGTCGTCCTGATTTGCAAAGGTGATAACTCGGTGGCTGTCATCTTTGGGCACAGGGAACAGGTAACGGAGGATGTCAGAAACCTGAAGCACAGAGGGATAAAGTGGCAAATGCCTGGCCTGGCTCCTAGCCCTCTCCTCAAGAAACCCAGACTTACCCGTTTGCCCAGGCGAGAGGAGAAGCCATGGAAGATGAGGTGGGGCTTAGCCTCTGACATGGTTCCCAGGTCTGGGATGTCATGCCGCATGATGACGTTACACAGTGTGAAGTAAGCAGTGGGGCCAAATGGCAGGTGGCTGACAATGAGCCCCACTGAGGAGGCCAGGTAGGTTGTCAGAGATCCTGTCTGCTCTTAGGCCTCTCCCAGCCTTTCACTATCCCACCAGACTTACCAGGTGTGCCTCGATGTTCATGAACAACTAAGAGGTCAGTGACTCCATTGGCTTTGCAGGCTCTCATCAGTGCCCCCACCTCATGTCTGCCTCGGTTCATGCGCTGAGCACCAGGGAACACCAGCTTCAGTTCCTGTACACCAATCAGTGTCCCATTAGGCCTGGGGCCTCTAATGCTAGGCATCTCCTCTCACTGCCTGCCAGCTGGTACCTTTGCAAACATCTTCAGGCGGGAACTGGGATCTCGGGAGGTAGTGATCATGACCTTGGGATCCTCAACACCTGCCCATCGATATTCATCGTCAGTGTGGCTGGTCACACCTGTCAGGGCACAAGGGTCAAGAATGTGACATTGGCTTGGGTGTGAAATACTAACTGGGAAACAGCAAGTCTGAGGAAATGTTCAATGATAGAAACACTGGTCAAGACAGTAGCCACCAGCCCATGGTTGTAAGTACAAGCGGACATGATGAATAGAATCCCAGTGTTTGGAAGGTTCCGCTAAGACCTACTTCTTTCACAAATATCTATGTGTATGATTCCTATTTGTTGACTAATGCAACGAATGAGATACCTGGGCACCAAATATGTGCGGGGCTACTGATATTGTCCTGCTCTGGTAGATGCTGCACTGGGAATGATAACTAATAAAGAAAGTACAGAGTAAATGCAGCGCTAGTGTATTGTATAAATGAATGGGAAGTACTGAAGGAAAGTACTATGGTGTCACCTGTACAGGCATAAAGGCTCTTGGAGAACAGTTCAAAAGCAGTTGCCATGGACCATTTTCTCAGGTGGGAAAACGCCCTGTGTCTGGGAGGAGATGGATGCCATTGTGCGGAGGAGTCAGCTTAGTGTTGGGAGAGTAATGATTCACAGCACCTTCACCACCGGCGTCATCAAACTCCAGGGACTCCTGTAAGGCCAGAGCCTCACGGCGTAGTTCAGTGGGAATGAGGTGGTTTTCTGCAGGGAAAAGACAGGCTGAGTGACAATCAAGCAGGAAGCCCTCAATTTACACCACACTCAAGCAGTAAAACTTTTCTCCAGTTGTTACTCCAGATAAGACCCAAAAAGGAGTTTCATAATCTTTTTGTTACTAGCCACTTAAGAGTTGCACACTGAGGTTTACCTACTTGCTTCTGACCCAATCAAAGGAGGCCATATATTTGGGTAAAATGGAAAAAGATTTATTTAAAGCCAGCCCCAGGGGGTGGAAGGACCCATATGTCTTAAATCACCATCTCACTATCTATAGGTGGGCCAGATCTTTTATAGTAAGGAGCAGAGGAGAGGGGGAGAACAGAGAGATACAGTAATTTAAATCTCCATATTTATCACTTTTAGCTCATTGTCCCCTTTCTTGTGGAAAAGAAAAGGCTGGCTCCAGATTTCCTCTTGTCAGCATCTGCATATTCAAATTCATTCATCTGGGCTGAGGAGTGTTGGGGAAAAGTTGTTTATGCCCTAGGCCTTAGCAAAGACACTTTTCTCTAAAGGAAAATAAAACAAAACCAATCCTAACTTTTAAAGTCCCGTTTTGCAGTGCCAGCTACACCTCCGGGTTTTACAAAGGCTTCCTTTCTCTTTCTGTGCTAGCCTCTTACGACACTGTGTCAACCTTAAAAGGGCATAGGACAGGGCGATCAAACTGTAAAACTTGGAACTGCGGCAAACATGACAAATAATTAGTACCAACGCACGAAAGGAACACTAAAAACCCTGCAGGAAGCCCCAACAGGCAAGGAAAATGGCCAGTAAATACTGAAAATATGTTCGGCCGCAAAAACACAAACACGTTTTCCTGACTTGCAGTACCTTCCAGCGCTCGCCGGACCTTCTCCTTCCTCTCCTGAACGCTTCGCTGCGCCTCTTCGCGGGCCTTTCGGTACAGGTATTCTCGGCGCAGGCGGGCCTCGCGGCGCAGCTAGAAAACAAAGGAACAGCCAGCCGGATCAGTCCCAACAACTCTCGAGAACCACAGTCCCAGCCCTCCTCGAGATCCAGGCTCAAATATCCCCTACCATCTTGAGGGTTGCTTCCACGTGAGTCTACAACTTCGGGTGTTGCCGGCTTCTGATAGTCCTCGCTTCCGCCCTCAACCTAGAAGCTTCACTAGGCACTACGGCTGTCGGCACTGCCCTATGTTAAGATGGCGAACAGCGGATGCAGTCACAAGTTGCGACGCAATTCCTTAGAGCGTGATCGCTGGAAAAACCAATAAACTGTAGTATGTTGTCACGTCACTCACAACAAACCATTAGTAAAGATGTCTGCCCGCGGCTTCACCACCGGCTACTTCGATGGAGAATGCCCCCAAATTTAAAGCTGCTGCTCCCTTAAAAAAATTTGCCATCCAGCTTCTTTTTTTTTCCATATACTGACTTTAAAAATTCATAGGTTCTGGAAGCGGTGGGAACCACCCTTTGCGACCATCTTCCAGACTGGTTACTTTAGAATCTAGTCGGAGATATCGATTGCCCCGCCTTGCTCGGGAGGGTCATTGACTTCCGGACCACAAATGGGAACGCCCTTTGGGGGGGTCGCTGTCGCCAACTTATTGGCTGTCCTGCCAGCGAGACTGGCGGTGATTGGATCACCTGGAAGGAGGAAACTCCGGCCTTGGCCTCGGCGCGACAGAGACGCTGCTGTGCTGGGAATGGGTGGTCAGGACCTGCGGGCCGAGCTGGACTTGCTGCTCCTGCAGCTGCTTGGGGATCTGGAGGAGCTAGAGACGAAGCGGGTGGTGTTGAACGCCAGGGTGGAGGAGGTAAGCGCCTGGGGAGGGAGGGAGGGAAGGTGGGCACACGAACGTTAATTGAATGTCCTCACTCAACTGAATGTTTACACTCTCCTATTTCTTCAGGGCTGGCTCTCGCTCGCCAAGGCTCGCTACGCCATGGGCACCAAGTCGGTGGGGCCCCTGCAGTATGCCTACCGCATGGAGCCTCGGGTCTGCGTGCAAGCCAGGTGAGGAACCTGCTATGTTGAGGCGGGTTGGTGGGATCCAGGCTCAGGCCATCACAGTCTGCCCTCCCTTCTTGTCCTTCAGCGAGGACCAGGATGGACTCCAAACATTCAGGGTGGTGAGAGCTGACGCCAAGACTCCCGAGGAGGTGGGGCCTCAAGAGGCAGGTGAGTTGCCTTTCTTTCTAGCTGGACCGATTCTGCAGTAGTTGAATAATGACTATTCAGGCTTTGGCAATAGAGAGAGCCCCTGGGTTTTCCGTTAGAGTTTTATAGGGAGAATTAAAAAAGTTATAAGTGTGTGCCTCACATTTGGGATAGTTTTGCAGTCAAAGGAAGTCTCACTCTACTGAACAGAAAATAAAATGCTCACCTCTGTGTCTGGCTATTTTGAAAAATAAACTTCTAATTCCAGCAAATCATTCCTGAGTTAAAGAACAAGGGCCTAGAGGGTCCTTGTCAAATCTTTCATCATGTTCAGACAAAATGGGTAAGGTCAGTGTGTGGCCCTGTCATGGGCAAATGGCTCATCTGTGGGTTTTATGGGCGCCATGAGAGAGAATGGACACAGTATCATCTGAATTATAAGAGCAGTGCTATTTCCAGGAACAAAGAAGGTTGAGAGGGTTTCCTGGCTATCTTAGTCAATTTTCTTGTTTTGGGGACACAGAACTGGAAATCTGTAATTTAAGGAAGAAGTTTTGACTTACATTTCAGTACATGGTCAGCTGGCTCCAAGGCAGAATGTCATGATGAGAGGCATACCAGAGAACAGCTGCACGCACCTTGGCAGACAGGAAGCAGAGAGGGTAAAAATTCCAGGCAGGGTGATACAACCTTCTAGGTCATACCCATAGTGACCTGCCTCTTCCAATCAGAGCCTACCTCCTAACAGTGAGTCAGCTATAACACACCCCCATAATTCAATTACCTTCCAAAAACTCCACCTGTGAGCCCATGAGGCTCTTGGGGGACAGCTACATATAAACTGTAACATCACCCTTCAGTGTTTTGCAGAATCAGAGCTTAAGCAAAACTCAATGCTGTCACTAAGACAATGAAGACCAGCCTCTAGCTTTTCTTTCCTCAGCTCTGCACAGGCGAAAGGGCCCCACCAAGACTCCAGAGCCAGAGCTCTCTGTCCCACAGGACCCCCTAAATTGGTTTGGAATCCTGGTTCCTCACAGTCTGCGGCAGGCCCAAGCCAGCTTTCAGGATGGTAAGTAGATCTAGCTAGTTGGCATTGTGGCTCTGGGTTAAATTCTGACCCTCTATCCACAGAGAGCACTTTAGCACTTATACCACTTTAGGGATGTGCACGTTTTCTCCATTGCAAATGTTTGTTGCACCCTATTGTTTATTGCAAAAGCATCCACTGGCTGATGGCATCATTCTAGGCTTACGCAAGCTGCCAGGGATACAGCAGGGAACAAAACAGACAAACTTCCCTCATAGAATGTTTATTCTGTGGAAGGGAGAAAGGCAATGTGCAAATAAATAAGTAAGCCTTTAATACAGTACAAGTCTGTGAAAATTGTTATTAAAAAGGTAGCATAGGATGGAGTAGGACAGGAGCGGATTCAGGTAGCTGTTGCATGAAGGGTTAGAGAAAATCTCTCGGAGGAGATGAGGGAAAGCTCTATGGCTGTTGTGGAGGAACAGTGTTCAAGTCAGAGGGATCCTGAGGGGAGATGTGTCTTGTGTGTTAGAGGAAGAGCAGAGAAGAGGCCCATGAGCTGGACTGGAGTTGATGTAATAGGAGTTCTAGGATCTGTGGGCAGGGGCATGGCTTGGGTAAAATAACTCCTGAGTGAGGGCCTAGGGAGCTGGGGTATGGCTTGGAGCTGAGGAGTAGGAAGTAGAACTCAGGATAATAGGACTTCTTTGGGCACTGAGTGGTGGCAGAGAAGCAGGTGGCAGGAGCAGCTAGCTACTAGATGCCAGTGGAGGCAGTAGAGGTAAGATGTGAGAACCTGTAAGTTTTGAAAGTAGAAGCCTGAGTATTTGTGAACAGAATGGCTGCAGAGGTGGAGGAAAAAGAGGAATACAAGGGAGCCCATGGTCTCCTCCCAGAAACCTGGCGAGATAGAGCTGTGCTAGAATGGGTAGACTGCAGAGTAGCAGCCCAGGGCAACATTAGAGGTGACCTGCTTCTCATGTGTGCTATGTAGTGTCCACTTATGCCCAGATGCAATGTCTGAGTCATGGTTGGGTACCTGCTTCTGCAATGTAAGACAGCCTGTGCTGGAGAGAGGTTTGGAAATTCACTACAGAGTGTTGGTTGTTGACACAGATGCTGGGATAAAACTGAGATGGGATAAGATCAGAGAGGGCCCAAGATTGTGGATGGGAGGTACAGGACAGGAGACTAAGGAACATGTGGTATATCAGATAATAAGAGCACAAAGTGTTTCCTGGAAAGAGTGATAAGATGTGCTCCTAAGTAGGAGGACTGCCAGATGGACTGGGTGATGTGAAGCACTAGATGGCAGAGATGTTGGCAAAAGCTACCTAGAGATTGATCCAGAATCTGTATCACTTTCAGAAGAAAGAAAAAAGGTAGAGGGAGTGGGTAAGAACAGTGAGGGACTGCAGTGATGGAAGAAGGAAGGAAATGAGCTCACAAGAAGGTATTACGGTCTGACTTTTCAATCTTGGTGGGTGATAAAGGGTGTTAAGGAAGTCTTCTGAGGAGATGATACTTTAGCACAGACCTGAAGCAGGTGAGGGTGTGGGTTCAGTGAAGTACACAAGTACTCAATTCATGGCCATACCTGGAATATCTTAGGAATAGTGTGGAGGCCAGAGAGGCCTGAAACCTTTGTAGTCCTGGGGAGGTGGGGTGAGGTATCCAGAACCTCCTGGGTCGTATGTCACACCGTGATACCAAGGTGACATTTTCTTTTTCTCCCCCAGGCCTTCAGCTAGCTGCAGATATAGCCAACCTCCAGACGCGCATTAACTGGGGTCAAAGCCAGTTCCAGGGGCTACAGGAGAAACTCAAGCAGCTGAAGACTGGTGCTGCCTGACCTGTGTCCATAGAGGCAGATGTTGAGCACTGCTCTCCTGGATGTGGCTGTCTTATCTCAGGCTCAGGCCTTCTTGCTTCACAGATAGCCTCTCCTCCTACCTCTTGTCCCAGCTAATGCCCCCTCTTAAAATGTTTCCCACTGCATGTTTTTAACTTTGTAAGGTGCAAAGTTTGAAAAGGCAAAGTAAGTAATGTTGAAAGCCACATCTAGGCCCAACTTTTCATAGGACCCACCCCTTAGAGAGAGCAGGTAAAGGGCTGTACGTGTATATCAACCGTTGAACAGCCTCAGATCAGTCAGCTGTGATATTGTTCCCAGATAATGAAACACTGTGAACAGTGGCAGAAAAGGACAAGAGGGAATGCTTGTCCAGATCATCAGCCCTAACATGGATGGAAAAAAGGACCGTGCGTAACTGACATATCCAGACAGTATAATGTCACTCATTAAAAATATAGCTACTGGATGTAATGATGGACACAAGTAGCCCCAGCTACTTGGAAAGCTAAGTTAGGAAAATCACTTGAGAGCTCCACTGAAGAATCATTCTGGATAACATAGTGAGATCCCTCATCAAAACAGTAACAGGAAGAACAAAACAAAAATCAGCTGAAAGTTGGGCAATCCTTAATAATGTCTAAAGAAGGAAATAAACATCTGACTTAGATTTTCAAGGGAACTCTGAGAAGAGACCCTGCAAGTTTATAAAACCTTTATCTTTTCTGGAGTTTATCTTTCTGTCTTCCTTTATTGAACAGCCAGTGTGCTTCCTGCTCTAGGAATTGTGTTTTTGCCTGACTTTTCTGCTGCATTATTACCTTTGTAGCAGTTTCTGGCAGATCTTTGTTCTGTGGGTGGTACTGTAATCCCTTTTGTTTATAATAAGATGTAAATAGTTTCTCCAGATTGTTTTTTACCTTTGTTTTTAGTGTTTAAAAATTTTCTACATTGCAAAATAAAACAGGAAAGCTTGTGTTTTCAAATCAGTTTTTAAAGTAGAATTGAATTTGTCAGGTGCTGTATGTTTGGATTTGGGGTTGTAATTAATGTGATGAGAAGAAATTATCTGGCATTTTTCTCATGAACATCTGTGGGTATTTGGGGTATCCAGTGAGTACACCATATTCCTGATCTGAGATGCTACCTGCTTTTATGTCTTCACAATGTAAAGTCTCAATGGTGCAGCTTCCATTGTTCACTGTTTATTACTGTCTATTAGTACACTGGCACTACACATTTTAATTCTTGGCCCTTTTATTTCAATGCAGGTAGAGGAGATGTGCCCTTGTGTTCCGTGTGTGTGTGTGTGTGTGTGTGTGTGTGTGTGTGGTGTATCTTTTTTTGGCGATGTTAAGCTTGAGTTGCCTGCTGTGACTAGAGCAAAAAAGGATCTTTTCTCTGTGCCCTGCCCCTCAGAGGTTGAGATTCTTAAAATCCTGTTAACAAAGTGAAATCTTAAAGCTAAAGAGCACAAAAAGAAAACAGTTGTTGCTTTGACCACAATGCAGGTGTTATACCAGTACCAGCTGTGTTGTTCATGTCATTTCTACATATCAACTGATGGTCAGGCAGGAATTCTAATTCCATTAGAATTAAGATATGTCATATGGGTGTTCCAGTACCTCACTATGAATGTAATCATTATGCACTGCAAATGTACAAAAATTGAAAAAAAAAATTAAAGGCTTTCACTTACTGTGCAGTTGGATGTTAAGCTTCAGCACATTTGGTGTGCTGCTGCAGGTGGGGAGGCTGCAACCTTCTGCTAAGGGGTTCAGGAAAGTGCTGTTTACCCACCATCTTGGCTCCATCTCTCTGGTACATGTCCTGGAGGAAGTGATCCCCTGACCCTGCCTGTAAGAGGCCAGTAGTTACCCAGCACCCCATGAATTGAGTAAAGACCAAGGTGCCAGGGGTCTTGCATCTGAAGCCAGGAGAACTGCCATAGGCTAAGAGAACTCTGGGCCTGTGTTTTCATCAAAGTTACAGTTTTCGTTATTGTATTATGTAGTTGTTTTGGCTATGAACAACTTATTAATTATATTGGATATCTACATTATGAATGTGACTAGTACTGTTTTTAAATAATGAAATTATTAGGTAATATTTAAAATATCCAAAGCTCATCATTGTCAGTTTCCTTTGTGGAGGACCAGGTCAGCCTAACCTTATCTTGGAGTGAAGAGGAAATAAGCAACAAGGGGCTGGTGGATGAGAGGAGAGGTAGGGAGGAAGAAGGGGAAGGGTTTGGGCCTGTACAAGTGCTGTCTTTCCTGGCAGGAACTACTAAGAAGGAACAAGAGTAAGGTGAAATCTGAAAGGGTATTACTGAGAATGGAGGAGATGGGAGGAGGAGATCTCTAACAATTCAGCTTTCTCCGGCCTTGCTGCTGTTTGCCTGCTTTGTTTGGCCTAGAGATCAAGGTTCTTGGTTTCTCACCCAAAGTCTGGGCTTGATTCCCCACTTCAGTGTAGAACCAACTTTAAACTTTAAAATGACCCCTCTGTGCCAACATACACTTCCTATCAAAAAGAGAACCCAGCCAGCACTGTGGCACATCCCTGTACTCCTAGCACTCTGGGAAGTTGAGGTAGGAGGATGGCAAGTTCAAGGTCAGCCCAGGCAACCTAGGCACTTAGTGAGACCCTCCCTGAAAATAAGAAATTGTATAAATGAGTGGTGGTAGTGGAGATGTAGCTCAGTGTACAGTCCCCAACTTTACCAATCTCCAGTACTAAAATTAGGGGCTGGGGATTCAGCTCAGCAGCACAGCGCCTGCCTAGCAAACGTGAGGTTGTGAGTTTGATTCCCGATACCAGGAAAAAAAAAAAAATTAAAAATCAACAGACAGACCTAGTCAACTACTGCCTTCTTCAGTTTTCTACCCATTTTTGCTTGTAAGTTCTATTAATCTAGGAAGATTTACACAGGGCTGAGGTACTGTTTCCAGGACTGTACCACTATATTCATTGGTTCCTCTTTCTGAGAAATCATTTCTATAATGAATAACTTTAAGCATACAAATTAAAACAGAATACAATGGCTTCTAGCCCTGCATGTAAAATACAATGATTTCTAGTCCTTAGAGGTCATTTTCATCAGACTCCTGGTGGTGGTGATGATCCATCATCCTTATGTTCTTGATGAAAGAATTAAGTCACAGAAAAACACTGTGAAAGAAAAGGCAGGATTTATTGCAAAATAAACAGCATAATGTGAAAGTTCTCCCTTACAAGAGAGAGTAACAAGAGTCAACATGGCTGTTATTGCCAAATACAAATTTAAATTTTATTTATATAATTTTTGTTAGGATACTCCACCTTTTAGGTCTCATCAAATCTGTTGAGTCCTTTCAAATGTCAGTAAGGTAAGGAAAAGACTGACATAAGTATTTGTGAAAGATCAGGTGAAACCTTTCCGGGATCTCTTCAGCATCAGGGCACACCTGGATACCTTAGGGATTATATTGTCCCTAGGAATGTTCCACAGTTAAACTTTATCCAGTATGGGTAGATCTTAAATGTTACTTTTATTCTTTTTTTTTAAATTCAGGAGGCTATAGGCCATGATAACTAGCAATGTGGAATGCCTACACTTAAAAAATATAAGTGGCTCTGCAGTTTTGGCTAACTGTGATACAGCTGTGCACATTTCTGACCCTAAAATTTCACTGTGCTCCTAATAGCACCCTATAATTCAGTAACCATGGAAATGCCCTGCTTACAACCACATGAGGTCTTTGGTGGACAGCCTTGATATAAATTATAATAGACCTGCTAATATAATAACTACCTGCCTAACTGCTATCATCCTATTCCTCACAAGAAGAAAAAAATTACTTCTGTAGGCCTTCTGTGGTGGTGTAGGTTCGGCTTCGAGCCTTTGGAGGGTGCTCGGGCCGGGTCTGGAGGGGTTGCGGGGAGAGACCCGGGCTCGCGCCCCCCCCCCCCCGCATTGCTGGCACAGGTCAGCAGGCCCCAGTCTGCTGGCCCTGGAGCTACGTCCCTGCGCACCTGGGCAGCCCAGGCCAGAGCTCTTGCCCGCAGGCGTTGGCGGGGCTCCTCGGTGCAGCCTAGCTGAGCCTCATGGTGGGCTTCTGGGTCAACTGGTGTGGCTGCCGCCTGTCCTCCTCCTTGCTGGTGGTGCTCCTCATGGTGATCGTTGTACTTGTCTTCAACTACTGGAGCATCTCATCCAGCCACGTTCTGCGCCAGGAGGAGGTGGCCAAGCTGTAGGCCCAGGTCCAGTGCACCTAGGTGGCCTCCGGCCGTCTGGAGAAGCACAGCTCGGATCTCCTGCTCCTGGTGGACACGCACAAGAAACAGATCAACCAGGAGGAGGCCACTAGGACACCCTTAGTAGCTGGCTGCAGGCTAGGGATGGCCTGGGAAAGAGGTGTGAGGATGACAAGGTTAAACTACAGAACAACATATCGTATCAGATAGCAGATATACATCATTGAAAGGGGCAACTTGCTGAGCTTCGCCAGGAGTTTCTTTGATAAGAAGACCAGCTTCAGGACTATAGAAAGAACAACACTTACCTTGTGAAGAGGTTAGAGCATGAAAGTTTTCAGAGTGGACAGCAGATCAAGGAATTAAGAGCACAGCATGAAGAAAATATTAAAAAGTTAGCAGATCAGTTTTTGCAAGAACAAAAGCAAGAGGCCCACAAGGTTCAAACAAATGATGGAAAAGAATTGGATGTGAATAATGATGTATTAACTAAAAATACTCCAAAAGTAGATGAGAATACTGCAGGTAAGAATGAAGAATCCTCGAGTAATCATAGTCCACATGGAAAAGAGCAAATCAAACGAGATGGTGATACAGGGATGCCTGAAGTAGAAGAGAAAGACCCAGCTAAAGTTGATGATCTTCCTACCTCTTTAAGGAAGCCCCTGTTTTCGTTTCTCAATATGAAAATCATCAGACAATCTTCCATCTTCCAACTGGACAGCTTCTCTCCCCAAATATTGCTCCAGATTCACATGTAAACCACCATGGTAACCCAGGTACTTCAAAACACAACCCTTCCAATCCTCTTCAGCGTTTAAGTCCTGGCTCAAACTTGGAGAATGAATCAAACAGAATTCAAAACAGATACACTAAAGCAAGCACCAAGGATAGAGTCAGTGCTTTCCACAAATTGAAGCAAAGCCAGTTCTTTGATGAAAATGAATCCCCTGTTCATCCGCAGCATGGCTCTAAACTGGTGGATTATAATGGGGATGATGGTAACATAGGTGAGTATGAGGCAGACAACCAGGCTGAGCTGGCTTACAATGAGGAAGAAGATGGTGATGTAGAGAGAAAGACAACCAAGATGATGAAGAACGAGAGCTTCAAGCAGCGTTTCAATGATGTCCTTTAAATCCTAAAGGAAAATGTCACAAAACCTAAAGTGCTATAAAATGGAACCATTTCTACTTTGTCACTTTTGACTTTTGTTGTAAAGATCAGTTGTATCAGTTGTAAAGATACACTGAGGTAGATTGAAGGAAAAATTTTAATGAAGGAATGTACCCATGTACACATGTGAACTTATTGAATTATCAAACAGACTTTTGGTTATGATATAATTGAGCCAAAAACAGTTCATCTTTGCATTTAAAACAAACTAATGGGGGCTGGGGATTTAGCTCAGCGGCACAGCACCTGCCGGGCAAGCACAAGGTTGTGAGTTCGATTCCTGGTACCGGAAAAAAAAAACCCCAAAATAAAAAAATTAAAAAAATAAAGCAAACTAATGTATATTTCACATTATATTAAGCTTAATTTTTTCACAAATAGCAAGAGAACATCATTGTACAAGTTATGTGTTGCACATAGCATAACCACAGTGACAACAGTCACTCAGCTGAAAAGATTTTATACACTGATATATTCTTCTTAGCCTGACTGGTGTTCTGTCTACCCTTCATTTCATGCTCTTCAAGGAGGGATCCTACAATAGTTACATAAATGAGGAGAAACTGGATGCCAA